ATGGGAGCCCAGGAAGGGTGGCTGTGCCTTAAGGAAATGATCCTTCAGGCACAGAGGGAGATGATTCCAATGCAGGGGGAAAGGGGCCAAGAGGCTTCCTTGGCTGACCAGAGAAATCCAGAGCAGCCTAAGGGCAAAAAGGGGGGCACATAAGCAGTGGAAACAGGGAGATATTACTAAAGAGCTCACAGTTGTAGGGAGGCAGTTAGAAAGGCCAAAACTACCATGGAGCTGAGGATGGCATCCCAAGTTAAGGATAACAAAAAATTGTTTTTCAGATATATAGGAAGTAAAAGGAAGGCCCAGGGTGGAATAGGACCACTACTGAATGGGCAAAAGCAATTGGTGACAGACAGGGAGGACAAGGCTGAACTCCTCAATGAGTTCTTTGCCTCAGTCTTCCTAAATGAAGGGCAAGACAAGTCTCACAATGGGATTGTAGAGAGGCAACAGCTGGGCACCAGACTACCAAGCGTTGACCCTGAGATGTTGCAGAGTCACTTGGAAGGACTGGATGTGTTTAAGTTGGCAGGCCCAGATGAGCTCCATTTGAGGGTACTGAAGGCACTGGCAAGAATATTTGAGCGCTCGTGGTGCATTGGACAAGTCCTGCAGGACTGGAAAAGGGCCAATGTGGTCCCTATTTTCAAGAAGGGGAGGAAGGAGGATCCAGGCAACTATAGTCCAGTCAGTCTCACCTCCATCCTTGGCAAAGTCTTTGAAAACATTATTAAAGCTCATATATGTGAGAGCCCAGTGGGAAAAATTATGCTGAGGGGAAACTAGCATGGGTTCATAGCAGGTAGATCATGCCTGACTAATCTAATCTCTTTTTATGACCAGGTTACAAAACACCTCGACACAGGAGTAGGGGTTGATATCATTTACTTAGGCTTCAGGAAGGCCTTCAATACAGTATCCGACCCCATACTGGTGAACAAGTTAAGAGGCTGTGACTTGGATGATTACACACTCCGGTGGGTGGCAAATTGGCTGGAGGGTCATACCCAGAGAATGGTAGTGGATGGGTTGGTATCAACCTGGAAGGGAGTGGGTAGTGGAGTCCTGCAGGACTCGGTCCTTGGACCGATACTCTTCAATGTTTTCATCAGTGACTTGGGCGAGGGAGTGAAGTGTACTTTGTCCAAGTTTGTGGATGATATAAAACTGTGGGGAGAAGTGGACACACCAGAGGGCAGGGAACAACTATAGGCAGGGTTGGACAAATGGGCAAAAAACAATAGAATGCAGTTTAACAAGGAGAAATGCAAAGTGCTGCATTTAGGAAGGAAAAATGTCCAGCACACCTACTGCTTATGAAATGACCTGCTTGGTAGCATGGAAGTGGACTCCAAAATGAACATGAGTCGTCAGTGTGACAAACTCATCAGAAAAGCTAACTGCACTTTGTCATGCAGAACCAAGGAGGTGATACTTCCCCTCTATCAGGCGCTGGTCAGACCGCAGTTGGAATACTGCATGCAGTTTTGGGTGCCGCACTTCAAGAGGGACGTGGATAACCTGGAGAGGGTCCAGAGAAGGGCCACTTGTATGGTAGGTGGGGAAAGAAAAACTGGGAGTGGGGCTGCAGGGGTGGGAGGGGGTAGGCTGGAGAACACAGAAAGAGAGTGAAAAAGAAGTCAGAGAGAGATAGGGATTGGGAAGAGGTGGCAAGAGGCAAAAGTGGCGGAAACAGGACTGAGAGACTGCAGAAAGCAACAGGGCTGAGAGCCTGTAGAAAAGGAACACACAGGATGCAAAAAGTGGCAGGAGTGAGGCTGAGAGCCTATAGAAAGCAACAGGGCTGAAAGCCTGCATAAAAAGGACAGAGAGGAGGCAAATAGTGGCAGGAACAGGGCTGACAGGCTGCAGAAAAGGGACAAAGATGAAGCAAAAAGTGGCAGGAACAGGGCTGAGAAGCTGAGAGGGAGAGAGAGATAGAGACCAGAATTTAAGATAGGGAAGGGACCAGAGCTCAGTAGATTCATAGATTCATAGATTCATAGATTAAGGGTTGGAAGGGACCTAGTAGATCTTCTAGCCCGACCCCCCGCCAGGGCGGGAGAACAACAAAAAACCCCAAAAAGAGAAACGGGACTCAAACGAGTCCAGCCAGGTCGGCATCCAGCCTCTTCTTAAAGACCCCCAGGGTAGGGGCCAGCACCACCTCCCTTGGAAGTTGGTTCCAGCTCCTAGCCGCCCTAACCGTGAAGTAGTTTTTGCGGATGTCCAATCTATACCTCCTCTCCATCAGCTTGTGCCCATTACTCCTTGTTATGCCAGCGGGCGCTAGGGGAAACAGCGTCTCCCCCAAACCCTTCTGGTCCCCCCTAGTGAGTCTATAGACAGTCACCAGGTCCCCCCTTAGCCTTCTCTTGTGGAGGCTGAATAGGTTCAGGTCCCGCAGTCTCTCACTGTAGGGTCTGCCCTGTTGTCCCCGGATCATGCGGGTGGCCCTCCTCTGGACCCTCTCCATGTTGTCCACATCCCTCTTGAAATGGGGCGCACAGAACTGGACACAATACTCCAGCTGTGGCCTGACCAGCGTCGCGTAGAGGGGGAGGATCACCTCCTTGGCTCTACTCGAGATGCACCTGTGGATGCACGACAAGGTCCGGTTAGCCCTGCCAACCATGACCTCGCATTGTCGGCCCATGTTCATCTTGGAGTCAATAATGACTCCAAGATCTCTTTCTGCCTCCGTGCTCTCAAGTAGGGAGTTCCCCATTGTGTAAGTGTGCTGCTGGTTCCTACTGCCCAAGTGCAGCACCCTGCACTTGTCCGTATTGAAACGCATCCTGTTCCTGTTAGCCCACCCCTGTAACCTATCCAGATCCCTCTGCAATCTCTCACTCCCTGCTAGCGTGCTCACCTCCCCCCAAATTTTGGTGTCATCAGCGAATTTAAACAGGTTACTTTCCACCCCATCATCCAGATCGCTGATGAAGAAATTGAACAGCGCAGGCCCCAGGACCGAGCCCTGGGGGACTCCGCTACCCACCTCCCCCCAGGTTGAATATGACCCATCCACCACTACCCTCTGAGTGCGACCCCTCAGCCAATCTGCAATCCATCTGACTGTGTAGGCATCGATGCCACAGTCACCTAGTTTTTTAACTAGGATGGGGTGAGATGGTAAAACAAACCCAATTTAGGGTTACAAATGATAGTGGTTTTGTTGAACAGGAGAGATGGTGACGTGATATTTTATTGGTTCCTTTGTGCACGTGCATGCACACACACACACACACACACACACAAAATGGCAGCAGGGGTTAAAGATGCTTGGTGCAGGGGCTGAAGTCCAGGAGGAAAGAGATAGTGACTAAATTGGAGGACGAAATATGCAGGTGATATCTACCTATCCCACGCTTACAGTGGGTCCTCAATGGCCAGTCGGGGTCTCCTTCAGCTTGGTGTTGTCCAGAGGGGGTTGTCGGCAGGGCCTTCTGGGGTGGATAGGTGGTGTGATGTGGAGCTGGTCTGGTCCAGATGGAAATGATGTTCCCAAGGAGTCAGTCTTCACTACTTCTTTTATGGGGCAGACTACCTCTGATCTCCTATGGGAGGGCCTGTTCAGGCCAGGTCAGTCCTGTTCCAGAGGGTTCCAGATGTTCTTACTGAGCATGTACAGCCTTGGCACAAGGGTGGGTCACCTCGTCTTTTGCTTCTTGAATGCTGAGGGTGGTTCATTGGTTCAAAGGGCTGGGTCATTGGTCCAAGTACTGGTGTTGATGGTTCAGTCATCCAGAGGGAGCTATTTTTAGACCTACCGCCATTGTCTCTCAAGCACCCTCATTCATCCCCATTCATTCAGGAACCAAGTTACATAGGAGGGGTAGTATGAGTCATAGGTTACATAACCGGGCATGGGGATAAGATGGAGGCTTGACATTAAAAGATGGAAACTTGACATGACTTATGCTAACTTACATATATAGGCCTAAACCAGTAATCACACAATATAAAAGCAGTAAAAAATAAAATAAAATAAAATAATACAAACATAATAATTATCACTTATAAAACAGTAGCTATTGATATCAAAGTAGCAGGGCACTTATTTGCAGAGGTAAGAGAAATAAAACTTACTACCTAAAATAAAATGTTAAAACTTATCCTACATCTTAGCTTACTTAGAGGGAGAGACAAAGTCAGAAATGGTTGGAGAAGGGGAAGGAATGCATTTTAAAAGAAAAAAAGAGTAAAACTGGGGATTTTGCTACAGAAGCAGGCTAAGGAAAAGAGGAGCAAAACAGTCTCTTGTCCACTGGAGCAGGCAGCATAGCCCAGGACTGCAAAGCATGCTGGGATACAAGGGACTGTGAGTTAACCAGGCAGCACAGTTTGTAGAGGAGGTGAACAGTGGTGAAAGAACAGGTTAGGTACTATTTAGAAAAGCTGGACATATAAAAGTTCATGGGACCAAATGGGGTGCACTTGAGGGTGCTGAGGGATTTGACTGATGAGCCTGCAGAGCCATTGGCCGTCTTCTTTGAAAGCTCATGGTGTTCAGGAGAGGTCCCGGATGATTGGAAAAGGGCAAACATAATGCTCATATTTAAGAAAATAAATATGGAGGATCCAGGGAACTACAAACCAACCAGCCTTACTTCAGTTCCTGGAAAAATCATGGAGCAGATCCTCAAGGAATCCATTTCTAAACACTTGGAGGAGAAGAAGGTGATTAGGAATGGATTGACCAAGGACATGGATTCCCCAAGGGCAAGTCATGCCTGTTCAACCTGACTGCCTTCTATGCTGATGAGATGACTGGCTCTGTGGATGCAGGGAAACCACTGTATGTGATATACAGGAAACCCTCAGTATTCATGGGTTCAGCATTCGCAGTTTCAGATATTTGCAAATGCTGAACCTGCATTTTAAATATGCTTTAAACACATACCGGAGCTCCTTGGGAGCTCTGCACTTGCTGCTGTCGGGCTCCCACCACTGCCACTGAGCTCCCACTGTTGCTGCCACGCTCCCACCATTGCCTTTACCCCCCCAACCACTGGGGGCACTGCGTTCATTAATGCAGACTGTATTCATGAATGCAGTGCCCTATTCACAGATTTTGCCATTCGCAGGGATCATGGGAACATATCCCCGTGTATGGTGAGGGTTGCCTGTACCTTGATTTTAGCAAGGCTTTTGATACAGTCTTCCACAACATTCTCGCAGGAAAGCTAAGGAAGTATGGGCTGGATGAATGGACTGTAAGGTGGATAGAAAACTGGATGGAGCATCAGGCTTACAGGGTAATAATCAATGGCTCAATGTCTAGCTGGCATCAAGTGGAGTGCCCCAGGGGTCGGTCCTAGGGCCCATTTTCTTCAACATCTTTAATGACCTAGAAGACAGCGTAGAGTGCACCCTCAGCAAGTTTGCAGATGACACCAAGTTGGGGTGGGGGGGAGTAGCAAATATGCTGGAGAGTAGAACTAGGATTTAGAGGAACCTAGACAAATTGGAGCATTAGGCCAAAAGGAATCTCATGGGGTTCAGCAAGGACAAATGAAAAGTCCTGCACTTAGGATGGAACAGTCCCATGCATCATCACAGGCTGGAGATGACTGGCTGGGCAGCAGCTCTGCAGAAAACCTGTAGGGACAATTAGATGATTATGAGCAAGCAGTATGCCCTTGTTGCAAAGAAGGCTAACAGCATACTGGGCTGCATCAGTAGGAATGTTGCCAGCAGGTCAAGGGAAGCAATTATTCTCTTCTATTCAGCACTGAAGAGGTCACATCTGGAGTACTATGTTCTGTTTTGGGCCCCCCACTACAAAAAGGATGTGGACAAATTGAAGAGGGTCCAGGGGAGGGCAACAAAAATGTTGAAGGGACTGGGGGACATGACTTATGAGGAAAGACTGAGGGAACTGGGCTCATTTAATCTAGAGAAGAGGAGACTGAGAGGGGATTTAATAGCAGTCTTTAACTACCTGAAGTAGCATTCAAAAGAGGATGGAACTAAACTGTTCTCAGTGGTGGCAGATGACAGAACAAGTGCAATAGTCTCAAGTTGCAGCAAGGGAAGTTTAGGTTAGATATTAGGAAGAATTTTCTCACTAGGAAGGTAGTTAAAGGAGACTGGACAGGCACCTGGATGGGTTCACATGAACCCAGGTTTGGTGACCCTTTTCTTGCCTGCCAAGGGCAGAGGGTTGGATTAGATGGCCCACTGAGGTCCCTTCTGACCCTAGAATCTATGAATCTATAAAAAACCCCCCACTGGAACAGGTTACCCAGAGAGATGGTGGAATCTCTGTTTTTGGAGGTTTTTAAGACCTAGCTAGACAACACCCTGTCTGGTTGGGTGGCTGGATGGGTGGATGGGGGAGAGGGAGTGAGGGAGGGAGGCAGGCATCCTGCACCCCTTCCTGGTTACTGATCATGTCCCAGCAGGAAGATGGCTGGGTCAAGAGGGAGGCACCAGGCACAGTCCCCTAGGGGCCCCCTCAGGTGGAGATCTATGAACTCGACTCAGCTGGCTGGCTGAGTTGGGCCATGCTAATCTGCGTTACATTGTAACTTTCAAATCTTTGCTGGTCACAAAGCTTAGGTAGGTAGGGAGTGATGGATGGGTGGATGGGGAGAGAAAGGGGGAAGGGATGGGGAGAGGGAAGAAGAGAGGGAGGCAGTCAGACAGGCAGGTGCTGATTTACAATATTTTATATTGTACAGGTGCTGGGGAGGAAAATGCCTCCTTTTGTTATACCACTTTCTGTTTTCCTTATTTATTTTAAATCTTCTTTCTTTCCACAAGGCAGAGAAGAAACTTAAGGAGACAGAAGCCTCAAAGAGACACAGTGGTTGGTAGGTGTCAGAAGACATGTACCCCAGTCCAAATTTGCTGGGTTATGGGCAGTAACCAGGAGGAAAGAGAGAAGGCTATGAAATGGACCTGCAGGACTTGTGCAACTTGATCTGATGCTCAGGCAGAGCCAGTGAAGAAACCTCAGCTTCCTTTGTGGCCAACAACAATTTGAAAGTTGCAAGGGTGCAATGGAGAGGTGTAAAGCAGAGGTGGGTGAGTGGGGCAAAGAGCCCACAGGCATGGGCCTACTACCTGCACCCCAGGAGGGAATTAGCCAGAGGTTTTGGCAAGCAAATGAGAAAAAAGTCTCCACTTGACAGTAGGCTAGTGAGGGGACTGTCGCTGAATGAACACGACTCCCCTCAGTGATACACTTTATACTGTGTAGTGTTCTATTGAAAATAGCCTCAGCTGCATTTGTGGCCTGGCCAGCAACCAAGGAGGAGGGAGAGAAGAAACCCTTGATCAGAAAAGAAAAGCCTGCACCAGGATGTCTTCCTGGTGCAGAATCAGGCTTAGAATTAGGTACTTTCCCACAAGCCAGAAGGTCCAGCCATGGGAGAAGAGTGACCTAGGGAGGAGCTTGAACCAAAGGTGGGCCTTATGCTCACTTTCTGCTTTCTCATTATAAGTAATCAAACTGTAATTGTATGTCTATATCATATATTGATTATATATATGTGGTGGAGGCCCAGGATATGTGTGATGTGTACCCAGGATGTGTGGTATGCATGCTGCAAGAGGCAGCTGGGGGTGGGGTAATAAGGTAGATTTACTTGCTTTGAAATGCTGTGATAAGGAATTGGACTGTTACAATTATTATTGATCAATAATAAATCATAATTAATATTAATACTATTACAAACTCTTATTAATATATTACTATTGGAATTAACAATACAATTGATTCCTATTATTAGTATTACCTGTTATTATATTATAAGCCTATATAAGTCAGGATGAAAGTCAGCTATAATTATAATGCATAATAGTTCAGTTTTTGAGAAAATTCTGAAGGAAGTGTTATCATCCTCTTCATCTTCTCTTTCTTCCTTTCTCTTTCTGCCACTCATCACACAAACAGGAATCAATCAGCCTGTGGCTAGCAGTGGAAGAGGATCTAAAAGCCGGAGGGAGGGAGGATAGAAAGAACACTGGAATTTGTATTGGTGCCTCTTGTGCACCTCACGTACCTTCCTTCATGCCTATAAAATTCCACCAGTTTTTGTAAACTACTGTTTACAATTTTACAATAAATTTGAACTAAGCAATGGACTCCCCCAACCAGAGATGACTCTATCAGGGCAGAGGCATACTGATGGCAGGGGGTGTGGCAGCCACCCCAGGCATGGACACAAAGCAGACACTATTGGCAGGTGCAAAGGGGGGGCCACCACTCCGCGATGCTCATCCGCCCCACCCCCCACTGCTGAAGCCACCACAGAAGGAGGCTTGTCCAGGGCATGTAGAAGTTAGGGTGGTGGCACCCTGGGCTTGTCCCCCAAGCTCTGGAGACCCATGGTACACCACTGGTGCAGGGCCCTGGGCAAATTAGCACCCCCCACACAGAGCCAATCCTGTGTGCCACGGCCATGGGGGGAGGGGAGGAGAGTTGTTGAGTGTCCAGATGAGAGGCTGGTGGTGGCATTCAGGAGTTGCCCTGTCCACTCTGCTCATCTCTGTAGGGCACCCAAAGTGCTGTGTTGCTTGCATTCACACCCCTCTAGGGATGATCCTGCCACCCTCAGGGCACAGACAAGCATCAGGTGTCACTTACCTAAGGTGGCATGTAGCATATCACCATGTCTTCTTTCAAGTTGCATGTCTCAGAGGTGTGGGCATCAAATAGCACTCAAAGCTTGACTGCACCACACTTGATCAGCCTGCAGTCATCTTGAACCCTGGATTCACTAGGTGCAAGCCACATGACTGGGATGAGTCCTTCTCTGGCCCCACTGTGCTGTCATCCCTCACCTGCCTCAGGCCTCCCTTGTTGATATAGAGAACACACACCCTGACCTCTGCTCCCCCAATTTATAGTCCTTTAGTGGGGCAACCCCCCCCAGCAGCCTCATTTTGAGGTGGAAAAAAATGCAGACACTCTGGAAATGAAAGAAAGTGGAAATGTTTGCAAAGTCCCTGAGTTTATGTGCAAGTAAAGCAGGTCTTAAAACCCATGCCACCCCCCACCCAACTCACGGCTTTACTTTGGTGTTCCAAAACAAAGGCGACAGTGCCTGGCACATGGATGGAAAAAAGCATGAAAAGAATCTTGAAAAAGATCATTTTCAAAGTTTCTATCTAGGGAAAATGCAAGGGTTGTGAAGGATGAGCCAAAGAGCCTGAGAAGGCATGAACTCCTATGGGTGACTTTGCAAAGTGGCTGGAGGCTTGCAAAAAAGCAAGACAGGCTGCTGGGGGGTGAGACACCACCTCTCTTCCCTCAACTAAGGGAGGTAAAATTAGAAGCAGTAAGTAAGTATGGCCTCAAAAGTGACTTTGCAGAGTGGGTGTTGTCTTTGGAAAATGCTGGTGTGCAATCCAGCACTTGTATGTGTTGACCCACCCAGGCAGCCTCCCTGTTTACCTCTGGATCCCCACTTTGTACCTGTGCAAGAGAGATTGCCAACCCCTCCCACCCTCCATGATGCAGCAAGTGGCAAGAGAAATGAACTCAAACAATGAACAAAATCCACCTTCTCAACCAAGCAGTGTAAGGGTGGATATGGAGGCAGACACAAGAAGCCAGGAAACCATGAGGTTTTATTGTTTGCAACACACTATTATAGTTACTTATACTTCTTTGCCTTTACCTTACCATGACCCTGAACTGGCCCTGTCTCTGAAATGCAGTGGTGCCCTCCTGGTTCAGCTGGCAGTCTTATGGCACTCCTGTGACCCCATTGAGTTAGGGGCATAGATAAGCAGACTGACTTTTCACTTTTGGGCATGGTACCTGTTTATTTAAGAGGTACTTCTGCACACTCTGAAAGGAATCACTGAAATTGTCCTGTGATCTCTGCAATTCAACATGGGACTCTTCAGCCATGTCTTTGAAATTCCATGTGGTGTCTCTCACTTCCTCAAAGATGGCATCATCCTTATGCAGCAACTCAAAGAGTTTGTCTTGCCAGGCATCTGCATGTTGCACTCTGGCTACTGAGGACTCTGCCAAAATCTCAAGCAAGGTTTTGTGGGACCATCTCTGCTTCCTGTGAAAATTTCTGCAACAGTCTGTTGTAGTGTGAGTAGGGGGCCATTCTAGGTGGCCATGGGTCGTGGTGGCTCATAAACAAAGGAAAAAGCAGTGGTTGCCTTTCCCCCAAGAGGAGGAAAGTAGACACCCCCACCCCCACCATGCAGTGCACAGAATGCCAGGAGGCATGGAAACAGACCTGGCAACAGTGAGGCACCACTCATACTACTCCAAACTTACAAGTACCTACTTTGGAAACAAGTCCATGGCCGCCACTGCCAATGCTAGCTGCAAAAAATGAATTAAAGCAAGTAATTACTTTGGTGTCTGTTACATTATGAGCTATCGAACCGGTCATGCACCACCACTGAAATAACATGGCGACCCACCTACAGCAACACTTTAATTTCTCCGCCTCCCCCCAGGCCCTCCAAAACCAACCAGCATGAACCTGGGAGTTGCCTGGCAGTGGCAAGAGGCACATTACAAGAGACTTAAAAGGTCTAGCATGTTCTTGGGTCTTGATAGCCATAGATGATGTATTGGCTGCATGGGTTTCTTCCTGATCTTCCACCTCCTCCACTTCATTATCTGTGCTAGTCTGTGGAATGGGGCTAAGTGGCACTAAGTGTATGGTGACCAACAGTTCTTCCTGACAGTCATGGCCATCAGGGAGCAGAGAGTGGTCTGTGTACAGCTGAGACATGCTCATGGTTTCACCCTCAGGATGGGCTGCTGCTATCTCCTTCTGCTGAACCCTTGTGCTGAAAGTCTCCATACCCGGGTTGTTCCCCACTTCCTTGGAGAGAATCATGGACAGCTTGTCATAGAAGAGGGCAATTGTGTGACCTGTCCCAGAATGAGAGTTCACATCTTTGGCTCTGCCTATGATCCTTTGCTCCAACCAAATGTTGATGAAGTCCTCCAGTTTTTACCAGGTCCAGTGGGTCCATGGGCATTCGATGTATCAGCCTCCTGGGCCATCAGCTCTATCCTGCTGGCCTTGGTTTTCTGAGACATGGTGAAGCAGTTTGTGGTCAACAGCACAAGTGATTTGTGAAAGGGGGCTGGCAAAATTTTGTAGGGAGGGGGTGCCTTTATACTCAGGCTGTGCTTCTATGAGGGTCTGAGAAAATACCAAGGACTGTGAAGTCATTACCTGTAAGTGTCAAAACACCCAAAGGTGATGAAGCATGACAAAAATGACTTGGCGATGTGGTAAATAAGGCCATTGTACTGTGGGATGGTTGTTCAATGGCAGAAGCACAGCCTGTTTTCCTTGAAGTGGCAAAAGTTTTGCGTAGCCTACATTACCAGGAGAGGAGTAGGCACAAAGTTTTTTGTTTGCAAGCTTGATTGGATCAGAACACCAGTGGCTGCTAAGCTCAGAATAAAAAGATGAAAGGATGTGCAAAAGCCCCAACGCCCCAGGGTGCTGGGGTGAAGTGTTGAAAAAGCAGCTATATAAAGCTCCAGATCACAAAACTCCCTACAGTCACTGCCCCTCCCCTCCCCCCAACCCCCCACTTAGTGCAGACGAATGAGAAGCCACTGCTGATAGAGAGGGGCAAAATAGAGAATGAGGATGAAATGCACGATGATGGAGAACAATGCAGTAAAGAGTCCTCTGATATGAAGAATATGAAGGACATGGGTGAGCAGGAGGAGGAGGTGGCAGTACTGCCTCTGCAAATGCTGTTTACTTGGGGATTACTGCTGCAATGCTTGAGAAGGATAGGAACTGTGCTAGAGTGTTTACTGGCAAGTTATGTTCTTGGTTTAACAGCATTAATGACAATAATAATAATAAGGTATAGGTACCCAGAGGACTTGGAATACCCAGAGGAAAGTGAAGAAGTGGAAGATGACCAGGCTGTGTTTAGAAACCTGAGGAGGACCAGAATCTGCAGTGTGGGCCTGTGAGAGCAGCTCAGACTGGTGGGAGAGAATCGTGCTGATGACTTGGAATGACTAGCAGTGGCTGGAGATGTTCTGAATAAAAAGGGAGACATTCTATCATATTGTCTTGATGCTGGGGCCCCACATCATGAGGCAGGGGACTAATGTGTCGGGCCATCCCACCAGACAAGAGGGTTGCAATGGCCATCATGAAACTGGCCAGCCCATCCAGCCTCCGCTACATGGCAAACCAGTTTGGTGTGGCTGCCTGCACAGTTGGGCTGGCAACTTGTGAGGTATGCCAGCTATTTAAGGAGATTGCTGCAAACAAAATTATCTGGCTGGCGAATCCACAGCAAGTCATAGATGGCTCCAATGAGAAGGGATTCCTGAACTGTGTGGGGGCTTTAGACAGCACTCACATCCCAGTGCTGTGCCCTGCAGGGAGGGGGAGGACTTTCACAATCAGGAAAGGATATACCTCCATGATCCTGCAAGTCATGGGGGACCACTGGGGCTGGTTCATGAACATTTTTAATGGGTGGGCCAGCAGCACACATGATGCATGCATGTTCAGAAACTCCCCTCTGCCTGGCTCATGGAGAAAGGATGCTACACACCCAGCATGGAGGAGACAGTGATCCATGTTGTCACCATTCCCCTGGCTATATCAGTGGATGATGCCTATCCCCTAAAGCCCTGGCTCATGAAGCCTTATGGAGGGAATGTCACTGACCTGTAGAAGCTGGTTTTTAACTACTGTCTGAGCAGTTGCAGGATAGCTGTGGAATGTGCGTTTGGTTGACTGAAAGGATGATGGAGGGCGCTTACATGCTGGCTCGAGATGGAGCAAGAAAGTATCACAGCCTTTGTACTGGCAGTCTGCATGCTGCACAATATCTCTGAGAGCTGCAGAGGGGTTTTCAAGTTGTGGGAAGAAGAAGCATGACAGGCAGTGGCCAGACAACATAGATGTGACCAGGAGCAGCAGCACAGGAACCAAGGAGATAGCCTCAAGGAGAGGCTGGTCAGGCAGCCTTGTGCATGATTGTCTGGCAGGATATATCACTGACAACACATGGAATGCTTTGTTCTTTATGTTAAAATAAATTCATTTACAATTTAAATCTGTGCCTGTATACAAGGGCGTGCAGTGTTACAGATGGGGGGCAGATGAGAGGATGGTCAGGGAAAGGGGGAAGAAATCTGAACTGGGCTTGGGGTTTGCTGCTTCCAGACTGTGAGTGGTTTGGGGGAGGGGGGCATTATATGCACCATCAACCACATCTGAATGACCCCCCCCATGGGTGAGAAGGTCAACTATTATAGCTCTTGGTGGGCTAGGTGGGTGGGGGACCAAGCCCAACAGCAACCCACATTTTCAACAACGTTCCAAAAACATTTATAAAACAATTCACAACACACCTTCAAAAGCTGTATGTGGCACTACACAAACAGATTGATGGTGTACCTGGGCAGGGAATGGGAGGGTTCTAGTGGGACCCCCCCATTGGAAACTCTACAAAGATCAATGAGCTCAGGAATGCTGGGAAATGTAGTAAAAAAAAAAAAAAAAAACAGAAGGAAAAAAAAAGCCAGAGCAGTTTGCTACCACTACCACCACCAGCACCATCGACAGCAATCACCAGTCAACCAGGCAGCAACACACAATCACCCACCCACTTGCTACTCTAAACCCTGAACATTTTATATCATAGCAGTTATAGTAAATAAAAGAAAAAAACACATATATTTGCAACATGGTGGGATGGGAAGGAAAAGGAAAGGGAGGGGAGGATTCACATGCCTTGTCTTTGGGACTAGGAAGGGGTCTTTGGATCATGTACTAACAGAGAGAGACCACACCAGCTGAGCATAGGTGGGTGCAAGTGACAAAGATTTTGGGGTAACCATGACTGTGCCCAGGGGAGACTTACAGTGGCAGTCATGACTGCCCAGTGAGAGTCTGAGGGCAGGGATTGGGGAGGCATGTGCCTCCTGCTGTAATACATTAGGAAAGACGTTACAGGGGGTAAAGTGGTATTTGACTCCCCCTACTGAAATTTGTGTGAAATGACACACGAGGCTTAACTCACTTGCAAGTGCCCTTCATGCAAACACAAACAGCATGTTGTGCAAACACAAATGCACTGCAGCAAAAAATAGCTGTATTAAAAATTTCAGCACTCGACATTAATGCCTGTGTCTGTAGCAAAACCCCCAGTTTTTCTTCTTTTTAATTTTAAAATTCATTTCCTCCCCTTCCCCAACCATGTCTTACTTCTTCCCTCCCTCTCTATTCCCTATAGATAATTATAAGTGAGCTAAGACAGAGGATAAGCTTCAGGATTTTATTTGAGTAGCAAGTTGTATTTGTTTTGTTTTTTCTTCTTTATATTGTATAATTATTATATATTGATTTTTACTGTTCTATATTACTGTTTTACTGATGCTATATGATTTAGGCCTACATATGTAAGTTAGCATAAGTCATGTCAAGTTTCCATTTTGTTTGTCAAGTCTCCATTTTTCCCTATGCCCTGTTGTGTAACCTATGACTCATACCTAGTCCTCCTATGTAATTTGGTTCCTGGATGAATGGGGATTAATGAGGGTGCTTGAGAAACAATGGCAGTAGGTCTAAAAATAGCTCCCTCTGAATGAATGAACCATCAACACCAATATCTGGACCAATGACCCAGCCATTGGAACCACCCTCAGCATTCAAGAAAAAAAAGATGAGGCAACCCAGCACTGTGCCAAGCTGCACATGCTCAGTAAGAACACCTGGAGCCCTCTGGAACAGGACTGACATTGCCTAGACAGGCCCTCCCGTAGGAGATCAGAGGTAGTCTTCCCCACAGAGTTAGTGAAGAGTGACTCCTTGAGATGCCCTCTCCATCTGGACCAGCACCATGACACACCACCTATCCACCCAGAGGCCCTGCCAGTGACCCCCCTCTGGACAACACCTGCTGGACAAAGACCCTTTCTAGCGTAGATAAGTAGCTAGCACCCCCACCCAGTCTTCAACCAAGGACTTTGACTGTTTTTCTTCCCTACCTGGACTGCAACCCTTCCACTGAATCTTTTTTTCTTGCTGCCATTGTGAGTGTTTGTGTGTGTGTGTGTGTGTGTGTGTGTGTGTGTGCATCTGTGTGTGACCCAATAACTTCACGGAGCTGTGTAGTGTGTTTAATAAAACTGTTATTTGGACCCCTGAGTTGGATTTTGCTTTACTATGGTTTCAGCCCTGCTCCAGTCTCTGCTCCTCACCCTTCTAATTTCTCCCTGTCCTGCTTCTGGCTCACTGCCCCCTCCAACACCTTTCCTGAGCTCCTTTCTGCCTGCGACCCCCCTGTTTCTTTACCACTTTCTTATCCCCACTGCCTTTTCCCCTGAGCTCCCTGGTTTCTGCTTCTCTCTCTTTCCTGGCCATCTCCTCCTTGCCACCAGGCTTTTCCCCTTGCACCAGTGACCTTGAGTAACCCTGGGGCCACTTGACCTTAAGTAACCCCAAGCCTCAGTTTCTCAGCCCAGCTTCTTCCTAATCCACCAGTTCTAATCCTGGTTTGGGCAACTTTCACTCCCTACACTTTAACACTCTCTCTCTCTCACACCTTAACCTTCCCCCGAGTATCCCAGGTATCCCAAGCACACACATACATACTGTACAATCCAGGTTAAGAACTTACCTATGTGTATGTGTAGGTGGGTTGCATGTGTGTGAACTGGTGAGTGTGTGTGTGTGTGTATATATATGTCATGGTGTGCATGATATATGAATTAGTGATCTGTGTATGTGTACTGAGTATGCAGGTATGGACAATTGATTTTTCTCCAACTTTTGGGGTGTATAGTGTACATGCTTGAATTGGTAATCGGTATACATGTGCCTAGGCTGGTTTGGATGTGCCTGAGTTGGTAGTGTGTGTGTATGTATGCACCCAATTGATTTGTGTGTTTGTATATGTGCAATTGTGTCACACCCTCCTGTCTGCACAATATTGAGATCCTGAAAGTTGTCCTGACCCCACAGGGCAACATGTCATCTACATACACCCTTAGATACAATGAGGCTGTAGGCATAGATGATTTTGTTACAGAGTTCAGAAGTACAGCACAGCATTATGAATTTAGATCTGCTGAGGATGTTATGTTGAGGGACAAAATTGTTTTCAGCATAACTGACTGCAGACTCAAGGAAAGGCTTCTGGAAAACCCCTCCCTCCCTCACCCTAGCACAGGCTGTGAATATATGCAGAGCAAAGGCTCTCACAAGTGCTCAGGCTCATGTTATGCATACAGTTGAGTAAAAACAAACTGCCATAGCATTTTGCAAAAACAAGGCACACCACCAGTGAAATTTGCTCCAAAGGAGGGCCATCAAGCTGTATTGGGCAAAGTTTGCAAATGGTGTAGAAGCACACATAAGCCTAGATCCTGCCCAGCTTTTGGAGAAACATGTTACAAATGCTCTGGAATGAGCAATTTTACAAACATGTGCAAATAAAAGGGAAAGGCTCCAAAGTCTGCAAAAGGACCTGGGTGCAATGTCTACAAAGCAGCACTCACAGACATTTGATAATCAGAATGCTGGGTATAGTACAGTGATGATTGCTGGCTTGCCAGTTTAAGGTAGGTACTGGAGCAGGAGCAAACACAATTCCAGTAGATGTAGAAAAGGCTTTGCAAGAAAAAGTACTCAGGACTCAAACTCATGTTACATTAGTTGCATTTGGTGGTGCACTCATCAAACCAAAAGGTGTAATCATTGTACACTCCAAATCTGGTGCTAATGAATCCAAATTAACTTTTTACATAACCAACAATAGTGACCCACCAATATTTGGCATGCACAACCTTAGAACTTATCACGAGTCCATGGAATGGCCCTGACAATACCTGCAACCAAGGCGGAAGTTCTCAAACTATACCTGGATGTTTTTGAATGGTTGGGCCAATTTCATGGTACCCACCACATCTATGTTGACCTGGCAGTACTACCAGTAGTGCAGGTGTGTAGATTCCCTATGCAAGCCTAGGAAAATTGAAGGCCACCCTCAAAATGCT